CTTTCCCATTGAGTTGCGTCCCCGTGAACACTGGGGCGCAACCCAATGGGAAAGGAAAGGATTCTGGGTTTAACCGTTGCGTATATTAGCTGCGACATATGAATCAAGATGCTATGACCGAAAACATTTGATTGACAGATGACCGTTGATATATGATTGGACGAATTTAGGTGTTCAGGCTGACGTAGAACTAACTGGCCTACAGAAGATAATGAAAAAAAACACAGGATTCTAAGACAAGATTTTGTTAAAAATTTATATTTTCTAAATTTTGGGAATAATATTGTCTAATAAAGAGTACATTTATAAACATGTTTAAGTCAGAATGATTTGACATTTAAATATGGCTTCCCTACGACTTTAAAGCGATCATTGTGGTAAGAGCCTGTTTTTGAAAATAGATCGTATACATGCATTATAAGCTATTATCTCTTTTGCAATGGCATGCGAAGTAACCCTTTCAATGTGGTCTAGTAAAATAAATTAGTAATTAAATAGGAGAAGCGGGACAACATGAATGGAGCGAGGTGTTACGTTCACAGCTGGGAAACAGTGCAATAACTTAACAGCCAGTTAAATAAGAAAACACACGTATCGGTCACATCACTAAATCAAACGCTGTGTGTCCCAGGGCCCTGGCATCATTACATGAAGGAAAAATGTCAGAAAATGCCTTCTCTTTTAATTTTGCATTCTGGACCCCCCTGGGTCAAGGAGGTTCTGTTGTGGTTCAAGTTGGAGAGTCTTAGATTTTCCCTTAATGGCTCTTTGAGTAAATTCAATAGGACTTGGGACTCCCTGCTGTCCATCAGAGACATTGAACCAGAAGAGAAACAAGTCTGAGATGTTTATTTATTTTTGTCCCCTTTAGATATCTAGATTTTTTTTTTTTTACTATTATTTTTTCTTTAGGGTATTAGTATTTTCTTCTTTCATTTATGTTCCCTTTTCCCTCTCCCGTTCTCTTCCTGTCCCTTATTCTGTAATTTTAATTTACTGTAATTTATGCACTGTGCTTAAACATTGGGATGTGGGTGTGGGAGGGGCGGGTGGCTGTCTGTTTTTTCAGAAAATTGTTAAAAACAAAGTGAGCACTTTTTGTGTTTGGGGTCCACCCCATCCTTACTGAGTCCTTGTATTGCTGTTTCTCAATAAAGAAATTAATGAAAAAAAACCAAAATACCTTCTCCTGAAAAATCTGAGCGAGCGGGGAGCGATTTCGCCGGAGCAGCAGGAACAACTCTTGTTGTGTCTGCGCAATCGAAGTTGTTATAATCCACACATGATGTACGAATTATTGTATTGCCTGCACGCTCTCACTCACATTAAAAAAGCACCACCTTGCATAGTCTAAAATCCGGGACATTTTATCCGACTCGTGGGTAATCCGTGAACAATTATCTATATCAGGGCGACTCCCGGAACTTTCCCGGAACTTGGGGTGTCTGGTTCTCTTGCTCTGGCCTCAGCCGAGAAGTTGCTTTGAAAGACCAAAAAAGAATCAGATTTGCATCCTTTGGGTCAGAGTCTGTAGGAAACAGCTCACTGCAGAAATGCTTTTTCTCCCGAAAAATGAGACGGACATGGACAACATGCTTCAAATGATTCTTCCATGTTAGGTTTGCAGCGTTAGAGAAGAACGCAGGTGGAGCAGAGCACAGCCAATCTTTCATTTCCATGTCTTTCAGCTCTACAGATCCCTTTCATTCGAGGCCAAACAGTGAGAGATTGATGGAGATGATGAGGAGTTTATCCAACCATAGAGCAACAATGTTTACATCCAACCTCTCAGACACCAGAAGGTCACACCAGAATCTACCATCTGTTCCTTGTTACAAAGGGAGAAAATCACCAAAGAAGGACCTATTATTCCCCTTCATGTCTTCTTTCCTCAGATTCTTCTGAAAACATCCCGGTCCGTTTTCCGTCTTCCATTAATCCAGCTAATCGTTTCTCCCTGATGTCCTTGTGATCCCAATCTGTCCCTCGTTAGCCTAACTGGGACGATGGTTTGTGTTTCATAAGGTTCACTGATGAGGAACTGAGACAGGCTGACCTGCGGGGCCTTTGTGGAGGTTTTTTGTGTCCATGTTTATGTTTACGTTACGACTAACATATTCTGTAGCAGGCAGTGAGCTCTTCTGGCAGCCTGAGTGTTCCTGTTATTTATCTTTCATGCATAGAGGTGTAGCTGGATTTAAAGTACCTGCAGCCATCTTCCTCTACCTCAGATCCTCTGCTTTCCTGGATAAATGGCTCAGCTGGTTTGGTTTATCCAAAAAGTTTTCTTGGCTGGAAATCTGACAGAGACTATTTAAAGCAGGTTATTCCAGCTATGTGTGAGAGATCAGAGCTGAAGGAGCTGCTGGATGTTCTCCGGTTCATCTGCTGCACTCCTGGTTCCCCTGGAGTCTGGACATTAGATACCCTCCCTCAGAATCTGTCTTTGATAAACCTTGTAAATGCAGGAGGAGATTTATTTTTTCATTTATAACCCCTCCCACTGCGATAATGAGGGGGGTATATAATTATACTCTTTATTTTGGACCTGCATTTTATTTTCTTCATCTCTTAAACTGTTTTAGTTTTCTGTCTAAAGAAGGAATCCTACCAGAAAGGTGTTCTGTTTCAAATGTGTAAAATCGATTTAGACCAGGTATCCTGTAAGTCGGTGCTTGAGGGCCGCAGTCCTGCAGGTTTTAGAGGTTTCCCTGCTACAGCACAGCTGCTCACACCGAGTCAGCTTCTGGTTCTTCAGTTCAAAGGGAGCATTTCCTCTACAGCAGATTACTGTAGAGTCAGTGACAAAATAAAAGTGAATATATTCGCTAGAAAAAGCCTGTCCTGCAAGTT